ATCTGTAGCGAGTAGGGTGATTGTCATTGGTGCCTAGTTGTCGATAGCATCAAGCTCTATTGTAATAGATGAGTATCATAGGTTTCCGGTGGCTGGTTCTATCTGTTTTTCCGCGTATATACATTTTCCACAGAAATGATTCACTTTGCAAAGAATAAAATGTATCTGTTTTATCATCTAAAATCTTAGTGTAACAAACATACTCATAATTCATCAAAGCTGAGTAAAGCATTAAATAAAAGTGAAAAAAATGACCCTAGAACAGTTCCATCATAGTAATTAGAACTGTGAAGGATTTACTTCGATACGAAAGAATATTCATTTTTGAACAAATGACTCAATGAAGTGGAAACCATATGACTGATGGTGCTTAGCGAAGATCGTTTTTCATATACTGATATGAAGGGAACGAATACCATCTGTCACACCTCTTATTCATGAAATGATTGGGTATAAAGATGAATAAGTGTTGATAAATACTCTAAGACTGATGCTCATACTAATAAAGTTGTAGTTAAAAGGAGAAAAACAACACTGAAAACCAATTCGCTTTAAAAGTTTGTGAGGATTTTATTGGTTTCAAGTTGATTTTAATCAGGGATTGAAGTTTATGGGTTCAACTCCAGGTGGAATCATGGGTGCAGACTGCTAAGGAGTCTCAACTATGAGAAAACAAATATCCAGTCCACGTAGGTCTTCAATGGTTCTCCAACTGATGTCATTTTACCACAATTACCAGCTTCAAACAATGTATTCGGAGAATAAACTGATGTTCTGCACACAGTCAGTGTGAACTGTAATCTTCTTTGTCGAATATCAACTCCTAATGAGGGATCGTCTGTATGATCACTGAAATAGCTAATACTTTTTTCTCAACATTGAATTTACTTTGTACAGGATGATGGGTGAAGTGTTGTATATCAGTCAGATAAACATCTAAGCAGTGAATACAGAAACTGTATGCCTGATTCCATCATTGATCTGGCTTTCTTTCAAGTTTTGTTTATTAAAACTGTATGTGCACAACCCTATATCAATCAAGAGTCACTTAAACAGCACAATACTTATTACTCTTCGCTTTAGCTGAGTTTAAAAATGAAATTTCATTTCACTATTATACCACTAATTTAAAACCCTGATAGAAAATCAGTAGATAAGGTAATCAACAGAAAGCGTGTTTATCACTCAGACATTTGAAATTTGCAAGTCTTAAGTAGTTTGAGAAAAGTGGTGATAGATAGGAAGAAAGAAAGGTGTTCATGTTTAAATGTACGATTTATACAGGGTTAGGTATTCATAGGCTGTTATATACACCTAATTTTCATAACTTTTACCTATAAATAACTTTATTGTTGGTGTTTCCATACTTTCTCAGCGTTGTTCCTAGCTTTCCTTTTTTTCCACTGCTCCTGAAAGCTGAACTCTCATTGGTTGTTGATTCTTTTAACTCATCAGTGAATTTTATATTTGTCAATGATGTTTAGAATGTATATAATCAGTGTTGCATTCAACCATTTTTGACTGTTATTGAGACAATGAAAGCTCTCTGTCAACAACCTATCTTCTCTTCTTGTCTTCACGTACCAATGGTATTGTTGTTGTGGTTGACGTTCTGATAAGCGTTTAGAGTACATTCATTTGCGCGTTATGCTTGTATCGCTTGTAGACTGCTGGGTCCCACCTATGGGTCATAGCATAGGCTGATATTTTTGTCTTTTCAAAAACTATTCGAGTGGATATTTTGGTGAATGAGATAATAGTTTTAAAAGTCATGGAGAACGATGTGTGACCACATTTCCATCTTGTGATGCCATAAAATTCTTGAAAGTAACTTTGAAGATCACTCTAGCAAATGCTGAAATAACCAACTGAGTTTTTCTCATCATGGCTATAAACGTTTCTTTCATAAAATAAAGGAAACTACTTGGTTATCCTTCAAATTCATTCCATTCTTTTATCATGATAAATGACAATTGGAGAATCCATGGCTAAGTTATGCCGATTTCCGTTACAAGAAATGTTGCTAGTTTGAATTGAATTTCGTTTATGCTGAAGTACACCAAAACTACGGTTGTATTTTAAATGATACAAAGAGGTGATTAATCCCTTAAATGCTTGAATAAGAAACGACTAACACTGTAACGCCACTCAACAGAACACCTTGAATGTAACAGTTGGAAACCTCAGACCATTTGAACTTTACAACATATACATCTATAATATATATACATATATATGCATTACATGAAAGTATCCTACGAAATATTTAGACAAATGGGATGTATACATTATAAGCCGCATAGACCCACTCCATAGTTGCTTGCAGGACGTTAACGTGGAGAGGCTGTACACGGTGCAGTGAAGTGCTATTGGATTGACGTGACTGACTGCTGAAAGCAAACAATGTTTCGTGCACCAGAGATTACGGGTTAAGTCTGGCTGTCTTCGACATTCAGGCTCCCCACGGCCCAGCTGAACCATAAGCTGACACTTCAAAAACATTTGGACCGATCACCACCACCAACAACACCGTAACTCGTCCACAACTACCACCAGCAGCCTAGAAACGCGACTATCAGTGAACACAACCCCTCCTTGGACAAAAACAGAAGCAAAACCCTCAATGTCATAAAGCTGCTGAAATCCGGGAAAGCAGCATGATCAGATGGAATTCCTCCACAAGAACTTAAACAAGACGCAGAGACATCAGTGGACACTCATACTACTATTGCAGAAGGTTTAGGAAGAAGAAAGGAATGAAAAAAATGTACCTACTGATTGACTGAAACAAGGGCCACCTTGTCAAACTCTCGAGGAAAGGAGACCTAATTCATGGTGACAACTGGCTTGCAATCATGCTCCTGTCCCTTTGTTACCTTCCACCTCAATTAGTATAAGATCTTGAGGTAGTATTCAGCAAAGACCAACCGCAGTTGGAGAACCACTGAAAATATGGGAGCACTGGACAGCCGCTTAGTCATAGCACGACATTCGTCAGCAGTACACACTCACGACCTTCAGGTCTCATGACAAACGCGCTAACCATCCAGCCTTTGGGTCGGTTTTCAGGGGTTCACAGATTCCAACTTCTGTCGATTAGCTACATAACGCGACTGTCACGTGAAGTCTTCAAATGACATCCGCTTCCCTTCTGATTGGTTGATCTTACTGTCCACGGCTTCTTACTGGAACTTTATGATATCCTTCTGGAAGCATGTCACTAATGAGTACTATCCAGTAATGTATTTGTGAGGTGAATGTGGATTTTAATTAAGAGTTAGTATTCACCAAGGAACCATTGAAAAGTTGGGAAGACTGGACAGCCGTTTCGTCCCAGTAGGGGACTCCTCAGCAGTACGATCAAAGTACGTTGTACAACATACTATTCACCATAAGCATTATTCTATAGGTTTCAAAGCAGATGAGGAGAATGCACAAGATACATGCATGCTAATTCTGCTATTATTGTTCCTCTTGCTCTGTTCAGAATAGTTTAAATATTTTCAGAAAATCACTCATTCATATTTTATGATTGATTCATACGCCTCATTACTATCAAGTAATTTCTATTTTAGGTGATGAACCTTACTAAATTGGATCCTTACTTGTTTAGTGTATATAATGAGTTGAATAGTTACAAAGATAAGAAGAGACTTAATGATTGACTGCGTTACATTTTGTAATTTTGCACTTCTAAAGTTTAAAACTTCGTCTGCAAATGATTAGCATCTTTTTTCAACCTTGAAACATATGAAACGTACTTCCTATTTGTAGACTTAAGTGCATGCTGTAAATGTAATATGATTTTTACGACTATTAGATGTTAGAAATGTGAAATTTACGCACTAACATATATATATATATATATATATATATATATATATACGTTGCGCAACTCAGTTACCATTTATTGATTTGTGTGAGCAGTAATGAGCAAATTAAGTTACGTAAGAGATGTGATACTATCTGTTTGATTTAACCTCGCAACGTGGAGCAGATTTCAAAAACAGGAATCAAAGAATTAAAAACCCACTGCCTACACCAATAATCAAATTATTATTTGTGCCTTGAGTTCCTAATGGAACATAGGGCTTCAGTAGCACGCCTCCAGTGAACTCTGTTCTGTGAAATCTTTTGAACCTGACTCTGCGACAGCCCACAAGCTCTCATTTCCTCCTCGCACTATCTCCTCCATGTCACCCTCACTTAGGACGCCCAACTCGTCGCTTCCCATCGGGGTTCCACTCGACAACTTGGCCTGACGCGTGATGTCCCCAGTCGGCCAATAACCAAAAGGCCCAACAAATTAAAAAATTCAGGAACACAGTATAGAGTTACTCACTAAGTTATACACCACACACAGGTTGAGGTGGATGGAGTAGATTTTGGATTAGTGATTTATTTGTTGAAGACAGAATTTCAGAGGTCTTCACAGCAGTTGAGGGCCATCACAATGACGTCAAAAAATAAAAAAAAATTGTATAAGACGTAAGTGTTTTCAACGTAAACTATTTAGGAAATGGAAAGTGGAGAGTGTTAAGGCACCCTAAATCTCATTTGTATTGACCTAAGTAGCTTGAAGGACACTGTTGCCAAAATACTCTAGCAATAACCATCAACCGTTGCGTCTTTGAAATTCCTCCATCATTTAAAGTCGTTAGCTTATCCAGATGGACTACACCCGTTGATAATAAAATCCGTAAGAAGAGTAAAAACAGCTATCAGATTGAACTGATTATTGCTAAACCAACCAAATTACTACTTTACAGCTTAATGACAAAATGATTTATACCCAACCATTAAAATGGTCTAAATGATACAGTTTTGAAAAAAAGATCGTGAAAATGGAACATTTTTCCTTATTCTATAGGATTCAGGGTTCATAAATTAGTCTGAACTTGTTTTATTCTAAGAAATACAGTTTTTTTCTTATAGAAAAATTATCTATTTATCACAGGTGGTAATTATTTTACTTTATAATTAGATTAACAGTATAAGGTTTTGTCTATGACCTAGATATTTGACAGGAAGTCAATCAATAATTCAATCTCATTAATTTGGCCGCTATTTAACTTAATACACAGAAATAATTGTAATACTATTACTACTACAACTGACTCACAAAATACAGGCCGATAACACTTTTCAATCGACTAATTTAGAGTCAAATTGATAGGTGTTTGGTGGAGAGCATGTGAGTAAGTAAACATGAAAGTATTATAATTGAACTGTGAACAATTTATATATTGTTTGAGTCATCATTCAATATGTGATTTCAGGTATATTGAATTTTTATTGGTCAATATTATCATGTGTGCATGCACAAACTGAAACGTATGTTTATATAATACATACATACAAATTTATAAGTCAAGAGATGCGCGTGTATTGACGTGTGTACAAGTCAGACGAGTATACTTAATGCAGGAGATTAGATATCCCGATCATTCGGTGAAGTATTGCGGAATAGTTAAAATATTTGTTTGGACTACAAAATTACTGTATTAAGAATGTTTTATGAGAAAGTTGAAAGTGATGAATTACCCAGTATTACTGAAAGTAATTCTGGACTTAAATCTCCTTCTTCCTCCACCTCACCGTCATCGTCATATGGATGCATAGGTAGGTGTCGAGGTAAATTGAAATAAATGTACTTGTCTGTAATTTGTTATGATTTATTGAGATATTCAGAAACTTTACAGACAGAAAAAAACGTAAGCAGTTAAAATTATTTTTCATCCAGTAAGTGACATCATCACAGAGGTAATTTATTGTGTAGTTGAATTACTTGTCCATTGTATCTTGATTTTTGCATATAGATGCTGAATCCTTGAATTGAATTTTTCATATTTGGAAAGTAAAATGGTATATATTTTTGAATCCAATTTGTAAAAAAACTAATCTGAATCGCTACATATATCATTTGTACATTGACTTCGTCATGAACAGAACTGAATGCTTTGGGTAATGTTTTTTTAGCTTAAAACAATTTCATACATTCAAGTTTTCACTAATAATCATAATCTAGATAACTCATATCTGAAGTATCCAGTACCAAAATTCACTTAGCGTCTACTGAAGTTTTGCTAATCGTAACGGGTTAGGTGCTTTAAATGCATTGTTGGATTTAATAGAGTCTTTCTCTCTACAGTCGACTACTTGATGCGATTTTCATCTGAGAAAGCTAACATTAAAGAAATGTTATGTTATAAAACTTAGAATTCGTCTTTACGATTCTGTCATCCTTAGAAAGTAGTACATAATGTGAGAATTAGTTTTGTCGTGGGATAAAGTAGAAATCAACTTTTCACTATACAGTAATGTGACAGTAACAAAGCATATTGACTCTCTAGAAAACAGATAATCTTCCAACCGATAGGATTTGTTGGCTAATAACAAACTCTTTTGATTAAGGGTTAGCACAGTAAAGATTTTCTATCCTATGCGAAGTGAGTGTTCATTAACTTCTACGACAATTCTGGACATATCACAAATTTTTCTCAGAACTATGGTACCCAAGTATCTGTAATCCATAATTAAATATTTGTCCTTTGAGTTCCCAGTGGAATATAGGGCTTCAGTTGCACATCACCATTTCATTCTGTTCTCTGCAATATTTTCAACCTGGCTCAACCACTACACACTAGCGTTCACCTCTTCCCATACAATACGCTCCATGCCACCCTCGCCTCGGACACCCAACTTGTCGTTTCTCATTTGATTTCCACTCAGTGGCGTGACTAGACGTGAATGTCTCCAAATGGTTTTCTCAGTGTATGTCCGATCCAATCGAATTCAATCTATCTCCATTTTCTTCTGCTGCATATCTGTTTTGTGACAGGTTGTTTGCTGGTTCGTTACGTGTCAGAGTTCCTTGTAGCTTATTGTTTTTGGCAATCTATCTTGTGTTCAGTATCTCTGAATGGTCACGGAGAAGCCCTAACTTGACTGAATTAGTGTTGAAAATGTGCGCCTTGTTCATGCTTCATGGTGAGTGCAGTTCAGAGCAGTATATTTCCACAGTGATTTCGGATGAATGAAGACAGACAGGCCTTTTTTGCTGTTTTTCTGATCCTGTCTTGTTTGTCAGCCTGATCTGTGCCTGTGCTGTCGCGTGTATTTGGAACAGTGCTGACTAGGTAGGTAGGTGGGTAAGTAGATAGGTATGTAGGTAGGTGGGTATGTAGGTATGTAGGTAGGTAGTTAGGTATGTAGGTAGGTAGGTAGGTAGGTAGGTAGGTAGGTAGGTAGGTAGGTAGGTAGGTAGGTAGGTAGGTAGGTAGGTAGGTAGGTAGGTAGGTAGGTAGGTAGGTAGGTAGGTAGGTAGGTAGGTAGGTAGGTAGGTAGGTAGGTAGGTAGGTAGGTAGGTAGGTTGGTAGGTAGGTAGGTAGGTAGGTAGGTAGGTAGGGAGGGAGGGAGGGAGGGAGGGAGGGAGGGAGGGAGGTAGTTGGAGAAGGCAATATCCTTCAGATTTCTCTCATTGATAGTGATTCGTATCTCTTGTTGTTGTTGTTGTCTGAGTATCTTCATCACCTCTGACTTGTCTACGTTTGACTGAAGGAGGTCCTGTCTTTGTTGTGTCACCTCTTGTGTCAACTTGTTGGCTTTTGCCTGTATATCTTGGCGTTTGTGTGACAAGACATTGGACATAATTCGTTATCGGCGGCGGTGGCGGCGAAATCCAAATATTCTTCCAGGGTCTCTTCATCGGTCAAGTCAGCGTATGCCCCTCTTCTTGCTCCTCACAGTTTGTTGCATGTCCCAGTCCAGTCCAGTCTAGTCCAGTGTAGCTGAATAGAGTCGACGACAATCAGGAAGATGATCGGTGATAGTAGGTGGCAACCTTATCTTACTCCTGTTTTCACTTCAAGGCAGCACTCAGCTTTCCATTATGAATTATTTGGCATGTAGCTTCATCACATATCATACAGTTGTTGAATGAGATTGATAAAGGTTTGTGACATTAAAACTGTAGTGTTGAAGAAGCTGCTTGTCAAATTACTTCTCGGTTAATGCCTCAATAGAAGGCCTTTTCAAAATCGATGGATTTGAGGTGGAGAGTTGATTGGTATTCTATGCTCTGTTCCATGATTGTGAATGGCGTAGCGTTTCAATTTGATGCGCACATGATTTCCTTTTCCTGAAGCCGGTCAGTCCGTTCCAGTAGTGATTTTGAATCCAGAGCATTTCCTAGTCCTTCCATAATGATACAGCTTATATTTTGCTTGATGTGAATAGGGACAGGAGCATGATTGCAAGCCAGTTCTTGCAAAAACTTAGGTCTCCTTTCCTTGAGAGTTTGACAAGGTAGCTCTTGTTTCAGTCAATCAGTAGGTACCTTTTCTTCATTCCTTTCTTCTTTGCAAACCTTCTGCAATAGTGGTGTGTACATATCGTGTGTTGTCTGATCGCAGTTCGGCTTTCATGTCACCCTGCTCATTAGAATTTTGATGTCGTCATTCGCGGTAGTGTCTTGTCTATTGCTGATTGCAGTTCTCTATAGAATTCCTCCTTCTTCTCTTGATCTGCCCTATTTGTAGGTGCGTAATATAGCATTGTATGATTGTGACTTTCCTTCCTTTTGAGTTGAATCCATCTTGCTGTCATGATCCTGCAGGAGAAGACTGGTTCTGACCTCATGAGAGCCTTTGAGGCTTTTAGAAACATCATGATAGCCACTCGAAAACTCAGTGTGCTCGTGGCTGTTGTTTGGGTGACAATATCGAAGTAGATTATTGACTCCTCTGCAGCTGAAAGTCTGGAGAGTCCTCTTCCATTCCATCTCCTTTCGTAGATTCCCAGCTTAGCACTTCTATGTCATACCTTCTCATCTCTTTTGCATTCTGTTCAGCCATTCTAGGTTCATACATGGTGCGACATTCCATGTCCCTATGTTTACTTTCGCTTTCATCGAGATAAGGTATATTGGCCGACCGGCTTCACGAAGCCTTTCACCAACCGGCGTCATTTCGTCTCACCGATTCCAACGAGGAATAAGTTTGTTTTTATTCTTTATATTTTCCTTGTGCTCTGAAGTTTCTTTAGTGATTGGATTGGTTTTACTAGGTAGGGTTGCTAGCCTTATGCCCAATCTTCTTACTTTATCCGGTCTTAGGGCTGGCTAGTAAACTAGTGAAGAGAAAACGATAATGAACTTCTCCTTTCAAAAACATAAAGTTAGCCTCTATAATTAAGTACTTCCCCTCACTGGCATTACCTACCTTCGATATGATGATGTTAAAATACGTTTCACTTCGATTTTATTGCTTTACTTTTACACATAATTCAAAAAGCTTTACCTGTCTAACCAACTGATTTTTTTTCCTTACAACGGATTTTAACTTATGGAAGAACAACTCTATTTCTGAAAAGTACCATCAGTCTCATATTCATAGAGAACACTTCAAGGATGTAAGGTAATCCAGTTAGCTTTTCCATCGATCACTTAATCCTATTCGTTGTTTATTGTTTTTAGGAATGCCTACATTCAAAAGTCAACTGCAGTTGCACTTTTGGATTAAAATAAGTTTGTGGTTTGTATGTTATATGAGGAGCTTTAACTTTTGCCACATGAGCAAAATGAAACATTTATCATCAAGGAAAACTCACTCACTCAGTAGTATTTTTTCTGGCTTACAGATTTAGTAGAAGATCTTAAGATCTGCCATACATTTCGCCAAACAGTCTGAATTTGACAACGATAGTTCGTCCAAGAAACCATGTTTTCAGAAGAATAGGTTTATTGCTGTAGTGTTTGTGACTAGATATAGGTTAATCTAGTAAGAGGTATGTCTTTTAACCGGATTTATAATTCATTTCCACAAAACCTGTAAATAGGGATATGTAACGTAATTATAACCTGAAATAACGGTTTACGATTCAGAGGTTATTGGTAAGGCATCGTGCAACAAACGATATGACTAGAATACATCCTACGATGTTTTGTGTTAGTTATTAGTGGTCAGTTCACACAAAGTCCTCCTTCATGGTGTTTTCATCATTGCTAACATTCATCATAAAGATAACTGAACAGCCTGAAAGGTACTCATGTCTCTCCGGTGATTGCAGTTAGCATAACTTATGGTTGACGCTAGACTTTGTCAATAAGGTATTCAAGGCATGACTGGTTCCCTGTAGTGCGTGCGTTTGTTAGTTCCTATATGCCTATTGCTGATCGGGGTTATTTGGTCAGGTTTTTCTAATGGCCAAAACCTAAAGTCAAACGATGCATTGCAGTGTTATATACTTTAGCTTAAGGTTCCCTGTAGGAACGGAATCGATTGGTTTCGATAAACTCTGAGGAATTGACAGCTACATTAGTCACCATTCAGTAACTAATTCTAGTTGATATTGGGTATGTTAAGTTTACTAACTTGTGATAGTTATGCACCACTTGCACAAACTTATTTCACATGTTGCTTCTATGAGCACTATTTGTATACCACACTAATGGAAATGTAAACGTTTTGAGATTAGTTTGGAAATGTCGATGTTGATTTCTTAGATTTTCTGAAACCAGGTGAAATTTAACTATCATATATCGTGTCAAACATTAAGCGACTTCCCTGAACAGTTGCATGAGACAGAGTGTATCACCTTCTAACAATGTTTAATAGTGTAGC